TAAACTACTTGTTGGTCATAATGATGCAGTGGGTATAATTTTCCCATCTTGCAGAGAAGGAAACCGAGCTTTAGAGTTTATGTAACTTTGCTCAGGGTCCCAACACAGGAAAGGGGCGGGACAGCATCCGAATCCAGGTTCAGTCTGTATCCAATATTGCGACAAGCCTGCAAACCTCCTGTAGGACTTGACAGTCCGATGGACGAATAGGGCAGCACACCCAGACTTGAAATTACACACGCAGGTAAGTGGAAAGCACAGTTAAGTGCAAATAAATTCACTTCTCCAGCGGTCAGGCCAAAATTATCCGTTAGGTGCATTTTACTGGAAATTTCTTCCTCCTAAGCTAGTGTCTGGTTTGGAAATTGGTCAGTCTGCTCCGGAGAGAGGCCTATATTTGCCAGTCGGCCCCGGAACAAGCCAGCCCACCCCTGCCATCTCCAGGTGGCACACCAAGGTAAAGCAGGAGCCCTGAGACGGGCTCGTTCCTCCTGAGTTAAGAGAAAGGGCAGAGATTTTACTAGTAAAGTCTGAATACTCAGGGATCAACTCTCCCCTGCACCCCTCTTTTCATCCTGATCTACATTAAATATCTGCAAGCTGCCTCCGAGGACAGGTGGGTGACCACCCTGCCTCCCTGGGGTTCTCCCCACTGCTCCTTGAAGCACCCCTGGGTGTCTCATTCTGCATTCTCCCGGTTATCCCAAGGCCATGCATGGGAGGACAGCTACATGACTGCCCCTGGTACCCTAACATGCCAGGCAGGCACTGTCTGCATCCTAGCCAGGCCTCAGAGGGACGCATAGGGGGCCTCCACCCACCACCCCCGGCACCTCTCCTCGGAACACATCCTCCACGTGTCTCCATGTCTGGGACCCAAATCTGACCAACTCTGAGAACACAAACATCACACTGCTCCTGGGACTGGCTGAGATCACATTCACCCAGAAGGTTATGGGGTAAGAGCTGGTGTTCCGCCAAAGCACTGGGGAAAAATTTTTAAAAGACAATTTCTAAGAAATCCCTCCAAATGGCCTAACAACTAATAAGACTTGCAAGGAAATGAAATTGGTTTATAAGCAGCGTATCTCCCTCCTGCAATTTGTATTAAAAGCAAAGAAGTCTTTCTTCAGAGCATCGTGAACTGATTTATCAATTGGTAGGAGGGATAAATCACACGTAAATGGCAAAAAAAAAAAAAAAAAAAAAAAAAGGATGACGTGTTTGCAGCATGAGGCAGAGAAAGGAATACCAGCCTCAAGGTCGAGTATACCTACGTTTCCCCCCTGCCCTGCCCCACGGGCAGCGCACCTGAGGGCAAGGCGCTTCCCTCCCAGCCAGCTCTGGACCGAGGAAACCCACCAGCTGCCCCATGCAGTAGCTCCACAGTCCTGAATGTGACCCTAAGACAAGCTCCTTAAACAAAAGAGAAAACTTCTGTGTTCCTCAATACCCTTGGGCACTCGGGGACTTTACTGGCAGGCCAGCAATGCTTCAGGAAACAGCCCCCCCTCCAAAATAAGAAAATTCACCAGAAAAGCTTGAGATGCTTCTAAGAAAGCTTGTAAGGCAGATGAGTACTTCCTGAAAGAAGTGATGAAGCAGAAAAACCAGCTGGCCCAAGCTTTCCCCCACCACAGCTCTTTCTTAATTAAGCAGGCCGGTAATACAGAGCCCTGGCTGCTTCAGGACCTGGGCAGGGGCAGAGCCAGCTCCAGGGGGGTCCTGCAGGAGGGAGGGTGTGGCCGGAGGCGTGGACAGTGTGTCCCAGCAGAGGGGGCTGTTACCATGTTGGAAAGAGAGCAAAGGCCTGGTGTTTTCTCCTCCTTCAAGCCGCCACCACCAGCAGGAGTGCCCACACTGGAGCTAATCCATACAATTCCTGGCACACAGCAGATGCACCAAAGCATGGGTTGGCCCAATCTTGTATGGTTCTGGAAGAGTAGCACTGCTAACACATTGTCAAGATGAGGGAATGGAGGTCTCATTACCTCTTGCCTAGTGATTACAACAGAAAAAATCAGCTTTTCACCCCAAATGGACAGAGTCTTTCTCTGGATTTCGCAACTTGCCAAGAAACTCTTTCTTAGAACTTCTGCCAAAATGCAAAGCCCATGGCGTTCATAAGCCTGCAGTTTTTGCTACCACCACCCATCTCAACAATTTTTAAGCCCATGGAAGATGGCCTCACCCTAACCCAATAGAAGAAATGGGCAAAATACAGAGAGAGTTCCCAGAGAGAAGTCCATTCGGTCAACGATACATGAGAAGATACTCAACCCCACTCATAATGTAAGATACAAAAACAAGGCCTCTCAGATGGTCTAAACTGAGAGCATGTCATAAAAACTCCAGGGTTGGTGACAGCAGTGGAAACCAAGTCAACACCCACTGCTGGTGGATAATAAATGGGGTGAGCACTGGGGCACTGTCATATTTGGCCCGTTCTACCCAACAATCCTACCACCGGAAGATCCAGTTACAAGACAGTCAAGGCCCATTGACTGTAATTGGGAAAATCAGAAACAATTTAAATATCCATAGGACTCTGGTTTAAAAAAAAAAAACCTTGTAACAGGGCAGCCCGGGTGGCTCAGCGGTTCAGCGCCGCCTTCAGCCCAGGACGTGACCCTGGAGACCCAGGATCGAGTCCCACGTCGGGCTCCCTGCATGGAGTCTGCTTCTCCTTCTGCTGTGTCTCTGTGCCTCTCTCTCTGTGTCTCTCATGAATAAATAAATAAAATCTTAAAATAAAAAAAAGAAAAGAAACCATGTAACAGAATATCATAAATCTTCTAAAAAAAAAAAACAGAAAACAGGGAGAGGTAGCTTCACAACCACTAATTGGACAAAGGCATATATTGAATGAAAGGGTACAAAAATATTGATAAAATGAATCCTTTTTTTAAGGATTATATTTACACATATTCTGAGATGCACAAAACAAAAAATTCTGTTCTGATTTACATACCAAACAAGGTCCACCGGCTGACAGCCCCGGGGACCAGGCCTGGAAAGACCTTCACTTTCACCGTTACTATGTCCATAGCGTTGGCTCTGGCTTTTGTTTTTTACATGCGTGCCTATTACTGTAACATGAATTTTTAATGGCCTCAGAGAACTGGGTGAGGGATGAAAACTCTGGCCTGCTGAATGTCGGGGTCTCTTGGTCAACAAGACAAGAGGGGGTGACAGCAGGGTTCCTGCCTCGGTCAGAAAGGTCAGAGGGTAACCATTCAGCTCCTCCAGCAATGGGATTTTGCAACGCTCGGATCTCATAATCCCATGTGATAAGTGTTCCCAGGTCCCTGCCAAGGAGCACAAAAGGCCTGGACAGTAAGGGCTGGAGACATCCACACTACAGGGCGGCCAATGCGTTGAGCAAAACAACTCTAGGTTAGATGCCTGTCCTCTGGCTCTTAACTATTTAACTCACTAACAGAGCACAGGGCTTGCATCCCCTCTTTACACACCTGCAAGTGCCCTCTGTCCAGGCTTGTGTCTTGGTCAAAAAAAATGTCGTGCTTTTGTGACTTCTACTTCTGTAGGATCCCCACCCCCTCCACCCCAGCACTCCGTGAAGGGCTAACTCTCATCACCTGATGTTCAAGACTGCTGCCTACAGCTCAGAGGAGAAGAATGCAGACTCTCCTGGAGGCAGATGGTAGGTGTTCAGATCCCAGCTCTGCCACCCACTAACTGGGACCACGAGCCAATGACTAATCTGAGCCTCAGTTCCGTATCTATAAAATGGGATTAACATTGTCCACCTCACAGGATTGGTGGTATATGTAAAGTATTTGTCAAAGTACAGGCGCCAAATGCAAGGCACGTGCTAATCCTGTGGTCATAAATGACTCCCAGATTCCGAATTAAGGCTCTTGCCTTAGTTAAATTGCACCCTCCCTAAAAGACAGGGGCAAAGAACATTATAGGCTAAAATTAATACAGAAATATCAGAGAGGTGTGCTCCTATTACCATAGGGTGCTAATACATTTCTGTTGGCCCAAAAATCTGAGCCCAAAGACAACCCCCGAGATTGGGCAGCATTCTGTGATTATTATGCAGAATTCACTGGCAGGAAATTGTTTTTGCAGAAGCAGTTGCCAAGGAGAACGTCTATGTTCGTCTATGTTCGGCAGTTGTGCCCTGTCATCCCATGACTTCTGTTGCTTGTTTCTTGTCTTTCGTAAAACAAAGGGTATGCCTAATGAGACCCATGAATGCAGAGAAAGATTTCACCAAAAAGAGAAAGTACACGTATCCAAGGAGATATGGGATCTCTGGGAACAAGGCGCAAGGGGTAAATGTCCTCAGTGTCCCAGAAGCAGCTAGCAAACAGGTGTGTCTCCATCACAGCATCTGTGGTCAGCTCGATGAGCAATGTAGAGGACATCACACCGAGGAGCAACAGACAGCTGATACAGCGCCATGACTATTCTAACAGCCTGTGACTTTTTTTTTTTTTTTCTGGAAAGCCCCAGCATTTAGTACTAGCAAAAATAAATTCTAAGTTGTTGAAAGAATCACAGAACTTGGTAAGGGGGTTAAAAGACTGGCCGTGATCCCCAGCATGAAAAGCCCCCTGCTCCCTTCCAGAATGAGCCCTGCCCTTCACTCCCCCCCCAACCCTACCCCCCCACCCCCCACCCCCACCCCCACCCTGACCTCTCAGTTGGGCAGCAGACATGGCACAACCAGCCTGAGCCACTCCCCAGCAGGCGGTGGTGGCTGCTGTGGGCCAGGAGGAAGCCAGAGCCTGTGGCTGTGCAGCCTCCTGCCCACACACCCACGCACTCTCCCTCACACACCCACCTGCCCGCCCTCCCTCCACTAGAGCGTGCAGTCTCACACACACATCACAGCTAAAACAGGTTTCCCAAAACAATAGCTGATATCTTCTTTTCTATTTCACTTTTTCATAATGTCTTGGGCCAGCCAAATGGATTTTTATGACCAGGAGGTCACAAACTGCACGGTGACAGATGCCGACCCATACCTAGACCCGGAGCTCTGTGCACAACTGGACTCATCCTCACCACACTCCAGCTTGCACTGCATGTGGCCCAGCCCGGGCTGCTGGCTGCTCATGTCTTACTTCTCGTTTGCTGCATAAAAGGTGGGGAGAGGGGCAGCCCGGATGGCTCAGCGGATGGCTCAGCGGATGGCTCAGCGGTTTAGAGTTGCCTTCAAGTGCAGAGCCTGATCCTGGAGACCCGGGATCAAGTCCCACGTTGAGCTCCCTGCAGGGAGCCTGCTTCTCCCTCTGCCTGTGTCTCTGCCTCTTTCTCTCTGTGGCTCTCATGAATAAATAAATAAAATCTTTAAAAAAAAAAAAAAAAAGGTGGGGAGAGGGGAGGAGGAAGACGTGGGAAGAGGAAGAGGTGCACAGGGAAGTGAGGAGGACACAGGAAGGAAGAAGGCAGAGGGTGCCTTTGGGGATCTGGGGCACCCCTAGTCCAGAGGCCTGGGCCCTGGGGTCCCTCTGAGCCACACCTGCCACCAGCTCCAAAAGCAGATACTGGGCCCCCCACTCACAGCTCAGAAAGTTCCCATTTCATAAATGGCCAGCAAACAGGTACCTGGAGTCTTCCATAAATTAAGAATCACTTCGGGCCTTGCCTTTTTTTCACAAAATTCCACCCCAATTGTAAGTGAGTGGGCCTGTCCCAAAATAAACTGAGCCGGAATTCAATGAAACTATAGAGTGTGGCTTCACCTTCCCAGGGAGCTCGCCCCCCAGGGCTGACAGCGTGCCACCTGTCCCTCTGGACCTCACGTATTCCTCAGCACCTCCACAGCTTCCAACTCCCCCCCAACCCCCAGCACAGGTCACACTGAGGAAGCTGACCAGCACACAGGTCAAGGCACCAGCCTCTCAGTGTCCCAGCTGGACACTGGCCTTCTGAGTGTTTCTCAAAAATGCTCCAAAAGCCACTCCAGTTGATACAACCTCCCGCCTCCACCAGGCCTCCCCTTCAAGAAGCGGCCCGCAACCCTCACCCATACCCATCTGTCTGTCTTGTATACCCTGAACCTAGAAGAGAGAGGGTCCAGGAGAGGCTAGTTCATGATACGAGATGGGTGGCAGGGAGGGGCGTGTCCCGTAGTGATGATTTGCAACCCAGGGGCCAGCGTTGGGCAAAACCGTCTTGACCCTACAAACAGCCCTCCTCCCTGGTACCTCATGCTCCTCCTCCCTAAAACAAAAACTGCCATAGTCAGTCACTGACCCTGTATATCTCTTGTATATCTCAGTTAATTTTTACAATAATCTCATAAATGGGTATGATCATCTCTACACTTCATAGATGAAGAAACCAAGGCGCAGGAGAATTTAAGTCTTTGGCCCACGTCATACAGCGGTTAAGTGGCCAGTGTAACTACAAAGCACTGGCCTCAGCACCCCACAGGCCCGTGGTGACCTCTTTCAAAGATCTTTCCATCTCCTGCCCTCCGTTTCCCTCTGGTCCAGGGCTCTGAGGGCAGCTCACTGGGCAAGGGCTGGGCCCACAGGCCTCCCTGGGGCCAGGCGGGGCCGGCCATCCTCACCATCCAGGGAGGACTCTCCTCAGCCATTCCTGAGATTCTCCCCCAGAACACAGAGATCCTTCCCCTTCCACCCCCGCCAGGAACCCTCAAGCTCTCTCCAGCGAAACAAGACTCAGCAGGTAGGTTTGTGCCTTCCAGCATATTCTTTACCAGAGTAATGAGATTTTGCTAAATGAGACCTGATTTGGTTAACACACTTGCACAGGGGCCCCCAGCAAGCTCAAGCAGAGGTAGGACCGGAGCCTAGGCCCCCAGACCCCCGAAGTTCAGGTTCAGGGCTCTGGCCTGCCCTGGCTCCCCGACACTACACAGCCCTTCAATACAAACAGGAAGGGGAGCTCCAAGACTCCCGTCCATAAACAAAAATGCTTGACAAGTATGAGGAATTATCAAAACACAGAACCATAAAGCAAACTCTTAGCTCTTCCCACATTTCTGGGGCAAAAGAAAAAAAAAAAAGTGTGTGTTCATTTCTCAATTACTTCTCAGGTACTACCCATTCCTCAATCGATTACTTTAATTCCTAAGACCCAAATTATAGAACAACAGATAAATAATGTCACAGTCATCATGCCATTCCTCAAATCAAAACAAAACAAAACTGTTACAAGCTCTCATTTTTCCAAAATACTCCTACTATCCTGGGGACTACTGAGGGCTTAAAAAACTCTCTGAGTCCATCTGCCAGTCGTTTTAGCGGAAGTTTCCCGTTTTTTGGTCAAACACTGGGTGGTCACCTGCTTTCCCCAGCGACAACTGTGCACGTAAACCATCCGCCCCCTTACCTACACGCCCCTTACCTCGGGGCGCCCCGAGGCAGCTGCAAACCACTACTTTTCATCCTGCATTTTCCTGTCCTTCCTCCAAAATAACATTCTCGGCAGGGGCAGGGGATGGGACGAAGCAGGCCTAGCACCCCCTGGGCTGCGGGAAAGGGGCACGGAGACCGGGCCCCGGAGGCCCCAACGCGTGAGCTGAGAACCGGCTTCCAACCCGGGTCCACCCGCCGCCCGCCCCGCAGCTGTGTGACCTTGGGCGCGCAGGTCGGCCTCTCCCGGCCTCAGTTCCCTCCGCTGCAGAGCAAGAATCCCAAGCCCCGGGCACCGGTTCCATAAAAGTTCCGGGCGCACCGCAGGGAGCGCCCCCGCCCCGGGTCCCGCGGCCGCCCCCGGGGTCAAGGTCAGCCGCGCGCCCCGAGACGGAAGGCCCGAGGGATGCTGGCCCCGCCGCCCGGGCCCCGGGCCGCTTCTCCGCCGTCCTCCGAACCACCTCCCCGGCAGGGGCGCGGGGGCCGAGCTCGCCCGGCCCGGCCCCGGCCCCGGCCCCGGCCCCGCTCCCGCTCCCGCTCCCGCTCCCGCTCCCGCCCGGCCGCGCGACCCCACCGGCCCGCGGGGTCCCGCCCGCCCCGCCCCGCCCCGCCCGGCCCCGCCGAGGCTGCGGCCCCTGCGTGCTCGCGGCCCGAGTCCGCCGCGGTTCGGCCCGGGCCCGGCGGGCGGCGGGCGGCGGGCGGCGGGCGGAGGGGGCGGCGGGCGGCGGCGCGGAGGCGTCCGTCTACTCACCGAGCGGCACCGCGCGCGGCCGCCTTTGTATGCAAACACTCGGTCCGCCGCGCGCCCGCTGTCACCGCGCACCGCCCCGGGCGGAGGGGGCGGGGCCTCGGATGGGGCGGGGCCTCGGAGGGGCGGGGCCTCGGAGGGGCGGGGCGGGGCCGCGAGAGGGTACCCGCGAGGCGCGAGCGGCTCGGCTGCTTTCAGGGTCCCCCTGGCCGCAGGCCCCCGCCCGGGAGGACGGCGCGGGTCCGCCAGCCCTTCCCTCGCCGCCCCCCGCCGCTCTCCCGTGGGCACGGCACCTTAGGCCACGTTTCTGATTATCCTCCCCAAGCCAAAGACTGAGATTTAATTCAGCAGGCTAGACGGACCCGTGCCCCAAAGCCTCGGAATTCAGGGGGCGCCAACGTCAGCGGTCGGGCAGCCCGTAAAGCGCTCCGCACCACCCCCACCCCCACCCCCAACCCCCCGCCCAGGAGCCCGGTAAGGCACTCCGCACCCACCCACCCACCCCACCCCACCCCACCCCAACCCCGCCCAGGAGTCTGGCAAAGCGCTCCGCACCCCTCCCCTAACCCCCCTCCCCCGCCCAGGAGCCCAGTAAGGCACTCCGCACCACTCCCCCCTAGGAGCCTGGTAAAGCACTCCGCACCCCTTCCCCCGCCCAGTAGCCAGGTAAAGCACTCTGCACCCCTTCCCCCGCCCAGTAGCCAGGTAAAGCACTCTGCACCCCTTCCCCGCCCCCCCCCCCCGCCTCTGCCCAGTAGCCAGGTAAAGCACTCCGCACCACTCCCCACTGGGAGCCAGGTAAAGCACTCCGCACCCCTTCCCTCCACCCCCCCCCCCCGCCTCTGCCCAGTAGCCAGGTAAAGCACTCCGCACCCCTTCCCTCCACCCCCCCCACACACAGACACCCCAGGAGCCAGGTAAAGCACTGCGAAACCCCCTGCCCAGGGCCTGCTGCCATCTCAGCCCTACTCTTCAGGAGCACTGGGTGGCCCCGGGCCAGTCCCTCGACCTCTCTGATCCAGGGCGTCCACCTCTATAGCCATGTGGAGGCAGCCAGCCTTGTTGGCCAAATTGCCATGGACACTTACTTTCCCACACTGGCTCACCTTCATCCCTTATCCGAATGCCCAAGCACTCCTGCCTCATCCATTCATTAAACAAATACTACTCGTGGGGCTCTGCTCCAGACACTAAGAACAAGAGACCCAGACCCTGACCCTTCGGAGCTTCCGTTCTCCAGAAAGAAGTTGGCCAAGGGATGAATAATGAAGGAAATAATCTAGTAGCTAAATGACGTAGATCAGATGATCACAGGGATCACACAGGTGAACAGAAATCTTAGATGACAAGAAACACTGGAGTCCTCCGAAGATTTGGGGGCAGAGCTTTCTAGAGAGCAGAAACAGCAGGTGTGATGGTCCTGAGGCAGCCCTCTGTGAGTGGCTAGAGCCATGGGGCAGCTGGAACGGAGCAGGGACCAAGCCTCTAGGATCTTGTAGGCCAACTAAGAAGTTTAGATATTCCGAGGTTTTTAAACCTGAGAATTATATGATTTAATTTCTATTTTTTTTAAAAAACCACTTCTCTGTTATGTGGCAAATGGAAGTGTAGAGGGCCAGGGTGGAAGCACACACACTACTATAGGAAACCAGAGATGATATGGCTCAGATCGATGGGAGGGGTGGGGCAGCTGTGAGAAGTGGAAAGACTTTGAATATATTTTGGAGGTAAAACCCGTGGATTGGCTGATGTACGGGCGGGGTGGGTATGACAAATCAAGGGTTAAATCCCCATTTGGAGCTTGAACAACTGAGGGATGGTGGTGCTTTTTTACTGAGGTACAGAAGGAAGAAGAAGCAGGCTTGGAAGGAAATTCAGGAGTGCAGCTTGGCCACTCTAAGGCTGAGATGCTTTTCAGCCATCCCGGAGAAGAGGTCAGGAGGGCATCTTTAGAGAAGCCAGGCTGGCTCTAGATAGAACATAGGGGTCACCTGCCCTGGCAGCTTTGCCCAGATGATACATGTTCTTCCAGCTGCCCATCGGTGGATATGTTCCAGCTGGTCTTGGCATGACTCCCACCTAGGCAGCCTGTCTCCAGGAAGGCAGGGGACCCGGTGCCATTGGCATTTGGGAGGAGGGGGCTGTGAAGGGGACCATGGATAACAGATGAGACCAAAGCCGAGAGGGTACCACTGCTGCCAGCAAATTGCAGGGCCCCCGAAGGAAGCATTCTTTACACTCCCCACCCTCCCAGGGAGTATTTGGCCTTGGGGTCAAGAAGCAAGGCTACCCGTGATGGAAAGGCTTTCTGGAAGGAAAGTCCAGCTACCTTCAGGCACCACTTAAGTGAAGACTTTGCTTAAAATAAATCTTGAATTATTAAAATTTGGAGACTAGAGGTCTAAGCACATTAGAAAATTCAGTCCAAAGCACTGATTCTACGAATGATGAACTTGGGGCGGAGTGGGGTTGGGGTTCACCCCAGGTCACCCCAAGTGAGGTCTGATGGCTGCCAAGTACTTAGCCTGCCACCTCTGGGGAGGCACATCTCCTATGATCCCCTTTACCTCCACAATATGTAAACGGGGTCAGATGCTGAAGAGGGAAATTTTTTCAGACAAACAAGCTTCCAGGAGAAAACAGGCTCTAGATTACATTTCACTTTCTGATCAGCTAGGTCTGGAGTCCCCCCTGGGAGGGCCCTTTCTGTGTTGTCAGCTACTAGGCTGGTGACCCAGCGGTGACTCAGCCAGGAGAGCTGAGGTGATCCCCTTGGCCAATCCCTGCACCTGCCGCCTTTAGCCCAACTCGGAAGATAAGGGACCACAGAGATGAATAAACTTGCTCCAGCCTCCAGCAGGAGGAGGAAGGAAGGGCTGAGTGAAGCGGGGGCAAACCAGCACACACATCCTTGATTCTAAAGTCTCAGTTTTGCAATCGGGAAAATGGGAGGCAGATCTACGTTGAGGGTGGAAAAGTCCACTGTGTAAAATTCACGGCACAGTGGCTGACTGGGAAGATTTTTAAATTCTAAAAACCCCAAACGTGGGATCCCTGGGTGGCTCAGCGGTTTAGTGCCTGCCTTTGGCCCAGGGTGCGATCCTGGAGTCCCGGAATCGAGTCCCACGTCGGGCTGCCGGCATGGAGCCTGCTTCTCCCTCCTCCTGTGTCTCTGCCTCTCTCTCTATGTCTATCATAAATAAATAAATCTTAAAAAAAAAAAACCCAAACGTTAGGGAGTGGCAGCTCCCAGAAGGATGTGTTCGGTGCTTAGCCCCACTGTGATCCAGGGAGAGCACCCAGACCCCCCTCCTCGGAGGGACACCCAGAGAGCACCAAACAATGACAAGTCCCCAGCTGCCACAACTTTTCTGTGCTTAAAAAGTGAGAGGAGTGACGAAAGCAGCCTTATTCTAGGGTCACCTGGGTGGTTTAGGCCATGATCCCAGGATCCTGGGATTGAGCCCCCCACATCCCACTCAGCTCCCTGCTCTGTGGGGAGCCTGCTTCTCTTCTGCTCCCCCTGGTTGTGCTGTCAAATAAATAAATAAAATCTTAAAAAAAAAAAAAAAGCAGCCCTATTCTAGCTAGAAACCTCCTCCCTTTTAGCCAGTGATAATAACTGCATTATCCTGGAACTCTGAACTTTTCCAGATGTATTATCCACACAATGGAAAGGGCTCTGCACAGGGTGGGCGGGGACAGGAGGGGTGAACGCCTCTCTTCACGGGACCCCAGGAAACATTGTCAGTAGGTGTACAGATGACTGGTCTCCTGACAGCTCTGAGGAGTGGCAGCCACGGTTAGCTCATGCCCCGGGCAGGAAGGATACTAAAGAAAAAAGAGTGAATTTTCCCCCAGAGGGCTGCACCTTATCTCTGGCAGGGATCCTGGGGCTCTGAGGAAGGGAGGGGCTCTCCTCCGGGATCCAAGGCCAGTCCTTGGTTGGGGGCTGTTGATGAGGTAGGTGACTTCAGCATGAGCCTTCCCTTGCTCAGGGCCTCAAGAATCAGGTGGAAACCATGAACCCCACCTGGTGCCCCCTCACCCCCTCAAAGGCAGGCGGTGGGGGGGAGACAGAGCAGCCTAGAAAGCCACCAGAGACAGAATGGATCCTCTGGGTGCAGGCTGGTGGGCTGACCAAAGCACCTTTCATGGGGGAAGCAGCAGGCATGGGGGGCCCTGGGTCCCACAAGAGGAGGAGGAGGAGGGTGGTGGGCCTGGGGAGCAAATGTGCACAACCAAAGCACAAAGACCCACCCCCCAAGTGGAGTGAGGATCCTCAGTTAGAGCTGAGGCACCCAAGAGAGCAGAAGAAGTCAAAGTCGCAGGGAGATAAAGGGGAGGGGCTGACGGCTGATACAGCAGGATCTTGGAGGTCGCATTGCCCAGTTCACCCTAACGGATACGTCAACTAGACAGCACGTGCACCCTCCCCGAGGATTCATAGGACCCATGCACACAGGGACCTCCCAGGTTTGGGGCACGGGCAGATGGGGCTCACCCAGGGGACCACACCAACCTGCTCCAGAACAGGCCCTGCGTGGAGTGCTGGGGGCCCCGCTGGGGAGCCGACCAGACACAGTCTCTGATGTCCGTGAGTGTAGGTGTGGGGTCAGAACTACGGCCTACAAAACTGTCACCCCAGCCCGCGCCACCAAGACGGGAAGGGTTGTACGTGGCCGGCTGCAGGATTTACCCCATTCGAGCCCCGAGGTCAGGGGTTCAGCTGACCTTGGTGGCCT